TATATGATTGGTTTCATTTACTGGCACTCAATATAATAAACCAATAAAAAGATGATTAAAGTGCATCGTTAATGCACTTTTTCCGAACTTACTAACTTTCGTTCTGTACAATCAATATACGCTAATATGGGTATTTATTGACTATTTTTTATTGGTTGTAAATATAAAATTCTTTTCTGTAATATATATCTTTTGAATAAACGATTTATTTTCATCCAGTGCTCTTGCACATTCAGTAACGATCTTCATACAATTGTTTTATCATTGAGTTTAATGTGACTTTGTAGAAGATAATAATTATGCCATCAGAATCTTTGAGTAACAGTGAATCAAATGGAAAACGTAAACTAAAGCATAAAGAACCAAAACGATTACGTCGTAAAAATAAACAAATTGATGTTCAAAGTGAAGAGAATATAACAAATAATATTCTAAGAACGGGTAATATTTAATTTATATTCGATAAATGTAAGTAATAAAATATGACAAGTATGATTTTTTTCATTATACAGATGATACTTCGTTAACAAAAGTGAAAAACACTGAAGAAAATGTTCCTTGTTTGCTAAATACTTCATCTTCAATTGCAGATAATGATCCAGTAGTTGCATTAACCGATGAATCATCAGTAAGGTTTTGTTTGTTTATAAAAAAATATATCAAAATTTTTTATTTTGAAGGTGCACTATTGGAAATTATGTACAAAGAAAGCAATGGATCTTCTCGAAAAACAAGCCGTTAATCGAAGAAAACTATTAGTTGAAAGACAGTAAGTTAAATATAATTTTATGTTCATTTTACATCGAAATAAATTTTAGCCAAGAACATGTAGACAGTATACGATATCTACTTCATCAACGCGAACAAATCAATATATTGTCTGAAAAAAACCATTCGGTAAGGGGTCAATAGAACATAATCTTTATAGGTCAAAAAATTTGATTATATATTCTCGTGTTTTTTTTTCTCTAACTTAAGATATCTCAATCATTCGATTCTTTACGTGATGAATTACGTACAAAAGAAGAAAATTTAAAAATATGTGAAGAAAAACTTCATGATCGTAATGAACTTCTTCGTGATAATGAATTTTTACGAGTTCAATTAAAATTAATGGAACAAAAATTTGAACGTTTTACTATTGAATATAGTAAAAAACTTGATGAAAATCGTCAACATGAACATGAATTTAATGAACAAATTCAATCATTAATGGATGAAATTGAACGAATAAAACGTGATCTTGTCTTAGAAGAATATCGAAAACAAGAAGCTGAAAGAAAAGTACGATATTATGATGAAAGAATTCAAATTGAACAAACTGTAAATAAAAAAATGCAGCAAGATTTAATTCAATTAAAACAAGAATTAAAATCAATTCATACGAGATATGATTCATTACAAATTGAAATGCTTGCTATGCATAAAGCAAATAATAATGATATATCATTAATACCAACAAAAGATACAGCTGAACATGAATGGCCAAAGAAACGCATATTGAATCATGATACTGTAAGATATAAAAAAGATTTTTATTTATTTTGTTTTCATTCTCAGATAATATATATATAGGATGAACAATTAGAAATTAAACGATCAAAACGAAAGACTCGAGAACGAACAGAGTCATCTGTTAGTACAGCAAGTAGTTCTAGTGATCAACGAAGTAAAATAGCGAAAAAGCTATCGAAAAATAAAGAGGTATTTGTTATATAAATAAAATAAATAGATAAATATGTATATTCTATTTCATAGAATAATGACAAAAATCCATCTTTGACTGTAAAAAGAAAAACATTGAAATCGAATAAAACAAGTTAGTTCTTAAAAAGATTTTTTCTCATTTAATTTTGCCAATTTGTTTAGATAAAAATCAGTTACCTATGGTAACTGTTACACAAGCTAGTCCATCAATTGATCAAACAATAGTAACTGAAAAAGATGCAGTACAATTATTACTTCCATCATCGATCAGTGCGACAAGTGATGGTAATACACCTAGTACGTTTATTTGATTCAAAATATATTTGCTTACATATATATATTAATTAATAGCATCAGATTCTCACGATACAAGTAATGAATCACAACTAGTAAAACCACGAACAAAAAAACCAAGTCGTTATCCATGTCGACGTGCACAACGTCCAGTTAAACAAACTGATATTAATGATCAGGTATATATATATTCTACTATACTTCAAATCATTCTTTATTTTCTTTTAGGTTCAGCAGTAATAATACATATTCGAATAAATCGAAATTATTATTTATGTCTTATCTTTAGATTGTATTTTATAGTATTTTTCTTTTTTTTAAAGTTATCTCGTTAATTACATAATTTTTTCATGTCTAATAAATATAATAGAATTAAGAAGTACACTTTTGTTCGTTTTTATATTCTTTGTTGTTAAAAATGTGAAATATTTCCTTTCGTAGATAAGAAAAATAATGATGGAATATGTTTTCGTTATATTACGAACAAACAAAGACTATCAAACACGTATATTAACTGTAAAAATACATATATTCATTAAAAGAGAATTTATCAAAAGATATTAGAATAAAATTTAGTAAATATTCATTCATCTATTTTTTTTAGATTATATTCTATAAATGGCACGTCGTTTTGCTTCAAATACGTCGGAACTTAATGTCACATTTAACAGTCAAATTTCTAGCAGTGAGTATCTATAAAAAATTTAATTTTTATCTTTATTTCTCTTGCAGATTCACTATTTAAGTATGATCAATCAACACTATCTGGACGTCTTAAAGAAGTTCATGTTTCAATTGCCGAACCTGAAATAACAAATAAACAAATAGTAGAAAAATTTGTAGTTTCTATCATGAACTATATTTTTTCATTTAGAAACCATTAAAATCAACAATGAAGAAAATGACTAACCATAGAGATGATATCATACCTAGTAAAAACAAAAATAAGAATTGATTTTTGAAAATATCGATTGATAATATACTATTTTCTCTAGTCGATGACTTTTCTAATGGTTTCAAATATGAATCACATCTCGGTCGATTTTCCAAGAATGTTATTGTTGTATCTGCTAGACATCCACATAGTTTCTTCTTACAAACAATCGATGATCTCGCTTATAGTGATAATTTTTTTTCTAAAATGAAGTATGTAATTTATTTTCAAAGTTTAAAACATTTACTCTCTGTTCTTTTAGTGAATTTTATAATCGTTGTTTCGATGCTCAACGTCTTGTTATATCAAAAGCAGCTTTACGTGTTAATTTATGTTGCGTTACACGTGATGAATTAGAATCTGATGTTTGGAATCGTGCACAACTACTTGAATATCATCCAGAAACTGATCAATGTAGTTTACTTCTTGTTGATTTAGGTACATGGCAAGAATGTGTACCACGTTCTAGTTTACGTCATATACTAGAACCATTTCGTAATGAATGTGTTCGTAGTGTACCATGTCGATTAGCTGGTATTGCACCAGCAAAACCAGAAAAAAATGGTTTATGGAATGAATGTAAGTTCGAAAAAAAGTCCAACTACTTTTTTGAAGATTTTTGTATATGATTATCTATTGACCCAGCATTACAGATGCCATCAAAACGTTTCGAAATGTTATTGATAATGTTCCAACAGAAGTTGAAGTACTTGATCATTCAGAAAATGGTTCATATTACGTAAATTTATTTGTTACACATGAAACATTTGTGTGTGTCAATGATTTTCTACTTTATCATAAAATTGCTATACCAATTGATGATTGTAAAATATTTAAAGTAAAGTCTATATATCAACGAGATAGAATACACATTTTTTATACAATATATTTTCCAGCCAGAAGAATTAGATCCAACGACTCATGAACCATTATTAGCAATTATTTATGAATTCAATCTTCAAGGAGAGTAAGAAAAAAAAATATAATGATTCTTATGTTTATCTTAAAATTTTTGTATTTTAAAGACTTTTAGCAGAAGAAATAAAAGCAAATTCTATAAAAGAAAAAGAAGAACAACAGAGAAAATATGAAGAAGAACAACAACGTCAATTAAATTGTCGTTTACCATGTATACGAATAATTGATATATTACTACCATCATGTACAAAATTAATATTTGCACGATATAAGAATTGGGTTATGATACCATGGTTTTGTATTAGCTCATTATTTGATCCACCACTTTCTGAAAATACAATCGAACGATTTGTAAGTTGAATGTTTTCTCTTATAATAATTTCAAAACATGAATTCAAACGAATGTTAAAGTATAAGAATAAAATTTTAGATCTCTTTTTCCATTCGAAAACGAAATTTATTCAGTATCTATTTATATTATGATAAAAAAACCTAACATTTCATTAGATTTTTCTTGTACAAATAAATCTTAATAGATACTATGTTAAGACTATATATTTATTTTAGGCTATACTTTATAAATTTCCACCAGTATATATAACACCATTAACAAATGGTATACTTTGTGCCAATTTAAAAAAATGCATGACTTTAATCAGTTATAATACAAAAAATTCTTCTGATGGATATGAATCAAAAATTGCTTTATACAGTATTGATGGTGTAAGAAAATTATTATTAAATCATCATTTTGATAATGAATATATATTTGATCGACTTGATGAAGCACGTGAAGCTGAAATGAAAGATGATCAAGATTTTTGGGAAATACCACAACAAGTAAACTGTTCCCTAGTATTTCAATCTAAAAATAAGAATATATTTATTTTTTAGAACCATTGTTTAATTGATAATAAAAAATTAAATGAAGAAAGTAAACAATCAAAAATTGCCATGCTCAAATCACATAAGTATATTTCATTAAGAACTTCGTATTATATTCAATAGTATATAATTTTCTTTTTCTAGAGATCAATTGGAAAATCGTCTTGAAAAAATGACTCAATCGAATCCTGATTATCAAACAGTATTACATCAACTTATGGATACTATGGAACAATTGAATGTATTTAGTAATGATAGCAACAGTTCGTTTTGAAAATAAAAAAGAAGAAGAAAAGAACATTTTCTATTCGGATATATTTGCTTATTTGTATAGTTCGATTTTTTTTCTTTAGTTGGATTATATTCGCGAACATTTGTTCTTTTTTTTTGTATGCGTTGTTTTGCTTTTCCTCTTTTTTTCCTATAAACAAGCTCAGAACGAATATTGATTGTTATGAAAAGGCAATAGAAAGTAATTCATATGGTTTTTGTTCAAAGAACTATTGATAATTTCGATGATAAAACAAAATCTTATTACGATTGTGTAAATGTACATGTAATACGAAAGTACTTAGATCATTTGCATAAAAACAATTTAATTTCTTTGAAAAGAAGAAGATAATGACGATGCTAATACAAGGATAAATCAAATTCATATTGCGTAATATATTTTAACATTTTAAATAAAAAGCATCATTAAATCATTTACTACAAAACTCCATCAATTGTCTTCTTTTTCGACTAAAATCAAGAAATTTTACGATACTTTATCTATTGATTTTTCTTATTAATCATCAATCGATATATGTGAATGATTAGAAAGCTATGATCGATAGATTTTTTGGATTAAAATTTTTTCATACATCAGTGTGTATAATCTCTATCTATTATATCTTATTATTCATCAACAGTTCAAAACATATCATTACTTTCGATTTAGTATTTTTTTCTATAGCAGTTAATTGTATGATTTATTAATTGAAGTTTTTTGATAGAATAAATATTGGTCAAATTTACATTGATTAATTATGTTCACATTTTTCGTAGAATGTTTAATCCTTGGGCGTGATACTTTACGAAAAAGAAAATTGACCTGTACTTTATTGAACAAAGAAATTCTCATTACAATAACTATAGAATGTGTTTGAGATGACATAAATAGGACATATATACATACAAACACACACACACACGCAAGTGATTTTTATGGGTAAAAGAAAAAGAAAAATTTACGTAATCGACCTTTGATTAATCACGCATTTGTCGTCCTTCTTTTAACGCAATCTTTTGTTTAATATTTAGAATAGAAAAAACTTTTCATAGAAAATACTTTTTTTTCTATGCTATTGATACTAAATAGATATATCCTTCTTTAATGAATGTTTAGTTTTTAATTGTAGAAAAAAAAGTAAAAGATTATTTTCAAGATCATGTAGTATTCATCATCAACTCATCCTCTTTCTCCTCCCCTTTTTCTGTCGATTTTCGAAGTTCATCGATACTTTTTTCTTTCTCTCATACAGTTTAGGTCATCGCCCTTCTTCTTCTTCTTCTTTCTACTTCCTGATCGGTGTTGGTGCAGGTATTAACATTTATTTAAATAACTTTTTCTTTTTCTCGTCGTTTCGTTCGTTTGTTTGTTCATACGACAAACGTAGATAGAGAGAGAGTGAACAAATGTGTTTGATGTTCTCTTTTTTTCTTTTTTTTGTATCAACTTTTACTACATGATAATTTGTCTCAACATTCTTCCTTCTAGTCTATGTTAATGTAACATTGAAAATAGACCAAAAAAATGCTTCAAATATATGTTCAAACTGAACAATAAAATAAAATGTTATTTTAATAATGAACACAATGAGTGTTAGATTATCATCATGTCTAATCAGTCAGATCGACGTTTATTTTATTTTATAAAACTTTGTAAGTAAATTTGTTTCTTTGTATTCAATGTTAAAAAGAAAAATGAATATAAATTTTTGTTTAAAATAGTTTTGTTTATTCAATTAACAAAATCAGAAACATTCAAATGCGTTAAAGATGGTTTTTTTCCAGACAAAAAAGATTGTTGGATCTACCATATTTGCGTTGGTGCAACACATTCAGTAAAAGCTTGTAAAGAAGATCTTTTATTCAATCCAAATAAAAACGAATGTGATTGGGCAATGAATGTAAAAAAACAAGAAATTATTTTAAATAAAAACTAATAGAATATATTTTCTTGTAGGTTAATTGTAGTCAAAGATCGTATGAAGATACTCTTCCAGCAACAATACCTGCAAATGGTCTTTCTCCACCTGGTTAAATACTATTCTATTTGAATTAAAAATTATTATTTTTTCTTTTAAAAGGTTCAATTTATTTTAATCCTTCATCTGCCGGTGAGAATCTAGATCGACCAAAATATCTTCCACGTTATCCAGAAATGAGTGATTCAATGCTCGAACATTTATGTCGAACAATTGATGACGGCTTTATAGCGCATCCAACTGATTGTAAACGATATGCTTATTGTGCAAACGGTAAGAAACGTGTCGTCTTATCTTTCGAACAAGAGACGTGGACATCAAGTCAATAGATCGAATATATATATCTTGTCTTGTCTACATTCACGAACAATTAATCTTGATTCATCTAAAATAAGAAGAGAAAAGCTTCATATCGATTATTTGCTAAGGGAAAGAAATGCGACGAAGAAGGAGAACAAGAAAAGTCTAGTGAGTTTGAGTATTGTTCGATACTCCTAGTCATTGTTCAATTAGTATTTACATTAACGAAAAAAAGAAAATAACGATCCAATTTAATAATTATAGGTGTGCCACAAACTAAAGTTTGTAAAAAAGGTTTACTATGGTCACAACATGAAAAAATGTGTGTTTGGCCAGTACAATCCGATTGTATGTTTTTAATATTGTATCATATATCATTCTAATCAAAATAATAATTTATAGGTCCACTAAAGGATCTAAATCCAGAACCTTCAGAAGAAACAAGAAATTACGCTTCAGGAAACGCACGTGGTACAATGTATCCACCATCTTATAGTCTACCTAATACTCAACGTCCAAATCCATCATCTAATACATTTAGACCAACTATTGAGTGCCCTGCATCACAATCCTGGCGTGTACCTGATCCGTTCGATTGTTCTATTTATCATGAATGTTATCAAGGTACTGATATACTTGCTTTTTGTCCTGCACAACTTCTATATAATCCCGAAAAACAAATTTGTGATTATCCACCAGATGTTCAATGTAATAAATTAATTGATTTATATATATATTCATACATATATAGTTGTTTATTAAAATAGGTAAAAATAAATGTACATCGAAGAATGAAGGTGCCCGATTTGTTGATTTGTCAAGTTGTTGTCATTTTCTTGAATGTGTATCAGGTAAATTAATAACTCAAACATGTACACATCCGAATTCATTTGATATTCAAACTCGTACATGTTTACCATATAAACGAGTTAAATGTGATGGACGTCGACAATGTTTGAGTAAATGTAAGAATTTCTTTTATTGATATGAAACATTGTTTTATTTAATTGTTGATTTAAGGTCATTATTTATCAAATTATGATGTTGGTAAAAGTTTGTGTGATTTTGTTCCATCATGTGCTGGTCATAGCGATGGATATTATCTTGATCGAACTAAACCAAATTGTCAAGCATACATTCAATGTCTTGATAATCGTGTTGTCAATCATAGTCGTTGTTCACATGGACAACGTTTTAATAGAAATATGGGTCGATGTGCACCTGCTGATCAAGTACCTTGTCGTGGTAAGTTTATTATAAATTCTAGCTACAGACACATTTCGTGATGATTATTAAATGATGTAAATACATTAATATATAATTTAGTTGTTCTAAAGAATGCATAGATAAACATTAGTTTTATTGAATTCTTTGTAAATTGAACAAATAAATCTTTCCGAACGATTTTACAAGTCATATGTAAATGTCAGATATGCTATAGAAATACATAGTTTAAACATTTTTTATTTAAAAAGTATAAGTAATGGGAAGACTAATTTTCCGCTTTTAAAGTATAACACTTTTCTTTCCAATAAAATTAACTCGTTGATGATTACTATTAGTACTTAATTCAAAGATTTGTTTTGCAACATCTTTCAGTCACGTATTTGATCCACATGCAAAGAGCATTGTTGTATATAAGTGATAGACAAATAATTTTATCTTTATTTTCGTCTGTTTTAGTTTTTTCATTCTGCAATAGCAGAAAATTTTTATTGTCTTTTCTTCTATATTTTAGCTATGTCATCAATTTCAATATCGTTGTTTTCATCAATTCTCGTTTTTATTCTTCTTATCGCCTCTAATATAGTCCTGTGAGAACAAAAAAAACTTGGTTTTTTTGACTACGAACTTCGTATTTTTACTTCTGTTCATTTTTTTTCACGTAAATACATGTCAAATGTACTATAGTTACTATTAATATTCCAATAACTACGTATGTTTCTTTGCTCGTTTATTTTAACTAAAAATTTGAAAAAAAAAGTGAAAATAAAAAGAATATTCAATGTCAATATGTTGTCTTTTATTCTTTTTTAATTTGTTTCGTATGCGTTTTATGTTGAAATTCTTTGTCTTGTGCAACAAATTCAACTAATGTTGATTTATCATGACAATCATGCTTAAATTCAGCTGCAAATTTCTTATTATCCGTGATAAATTTAAGTACATCTTCATTTTTGTTCATATGAGATAAACCAACAATATCAGTAAAACTTTGTTCAATAAGAATTTGTTCGTTTGTACGAAAACATACATTACCGAAACGAAGAGAACCAAGTAATTTAGTATGGCCACTTCGATCTTCACAATATAATTTTGATCCTTTGGCGAAAGAAACTATTGTATGTTGAGGATGATTATTTGTTTCAGTATCACTATAAACAAGTTGATTAATACATGTTTCAACATGATCAGTCAATTTTGTACAAGATTTTGATTGTTTTGAAGAATTATGACGTACTTTACGTGTCTTTTTACGATACCATGATAAACATTTCTGTGATACACGATTTGTTTTTGAAATCTCAGTAACATTAAGTGTATATGTTTGACGAATTGTAAAACCACGACCTTCACGAATTTGAACTGGTTGATGAAGTTCCATTCGATGTGTTTCTTTTTCAGCTTTATTTTGTTTAGTTTCCACATCATCATCTTCCATGATATCACTTTCTTTTGTATTATTATTGATACTAGCACGTTTTTGACGATCAAAACGATGATGATTATGACGATGAGATCCACGGTGTCCTAAAATATAAGGATATTCATGTAAATATTTTATTCAACGTTAAAGTATAACTGGATGATAATCACTTAAGATTATTCCTACAAAAAGATCTTCTTACTGTGACGTTTGTGTGGTTTATGATCGTCTTCGTCGCTATCGGTGTCGTCGTCCATATCATCATCTGAATCATCAACTAATTCCATATGACATTTTTCGAAATTTATATCATGAGTTTTTGATGCTAAACATACAAGATCTTTCTGAACCATATGTGTATCTAATGGTTTTTTTAATTCAAGAAGTATTTTATCACCAATTTCTTCTGATGATTGTATATCTAATCGACGTGAAATTTTTTCTAAATATTCATTTTTATTCCTCTTTTCACCATATCGATGACGTTTATTAGGTCCATCAAATCGATGACATTGTTTATTAACTTGTACTAGACTTCGTGTAATTGGTGTTGCCAAACAAAGATTTTCACGTATTCGTGCTACACAACAATGTTCTTCACCACCATGACCATCATCGTATGAATACACATTATAAACAGATGCAACTGGTAGTATTAAAACTAACAGTGTAATACTAATATAAAATAATGAAGATGACGACATACTTCGTACTTTTTTTTATTATTATGAATTATACTTTATGTAAACTCAAATGAAGAATAGATAAGATAAGAGTCTTATTTATCAAGCAAGTTACAAAATGAAATGAAAAATTGATAAAGTTTTGTTGGACTATTAATCATAAACTACTCGAGTAATAAAGTGTGTTGCTATATATGTTCTTATATAGATAAATGCAAATGAACAGTATATTTACTTATTAAAATCAAATTTAAAATAGAAAATTAGATCTATCAATTTTCATAAGAAGGATGACAAAACAAATATTTTTTTCCGCTCATTTCATGTTAAAATCGTAGTGTATTTTAAGATCAAAATGATTTTCATCCATTATTCCGAATCTACTGATCGATCTAAATAGAACAAAAAATATATGATCGTATTGTGTGAATGTAAGTAACTTTATTAATGAAATCATTCAAATGAATGTTGTGCTTTCTTTTGCATGATATCAATTGATAGATGTCAGGAGAGATCGCTTATATTAAATTAAAACGTGGTGTTTATTGAGAAAAATAGAATGATTTTTTTTTATAAAAAACTGCAGTGTTCAAAAAAATAGGTGTGTTGTATTGAGGACCCTCGTTGAGGATGACTAAACAAAATATACAAACAGAAAAAATAGTAATTGCGAGCGTTGCTAGGCTGCTAGTTTATATTAATGGTTGAAATAGTGTTGATTATATTGTAAAGCAAATAGTCGTTAAAAAGTAGAAGTAAGTTAATATTTTGTTATTATTTTTATTGATTAGGATATTAAATTTGCCATTCGTTGTCATTGGAATTTGTAGCAAGTAAAAGAGCATCATCACCAAATGTTTCAAGATTTTTTTCTGTTTCATCCATTTCAGTATAACCAACTGCTGTACCAGTTGTAGCAGTACATGAAATATGATCGAAAAATGAAACATCTTTTTTATAGGAACCTGCTTGCGATTGTTGTTGTGGTGCATTAAGATCGGAACATGATCCATTTGAACAATGTGAAGTACGACGTGTTACTAACTCTTCTAGTTCAAGATATCGACGAAATTCTTCGTTAGCTTTTTCAAAATCGTATTGTTCGTTAAATGATGGTAATATATTTGATGATGATGAATCAAATTGAACAATTGAATGAGGACCAATATCAGCATTTGAACCACTGCAACTACTTGCCATTGAAATAGTACGTTGATTACGACGTGAACCAATTGGTTCTCCAAATGATATTGGTGTTTGCCTAGGATTATGATCGACTGAACTTCCATAATGATATGGTAGACTTGCAGTTGAATTAATACTTGTTGTTGATTGATGTATAGGATTGTTACGCTGTCTAAAAAAGCCCTCTTGAATTGGTTGCGGTGTTAATATTGATTGATTTTCTGCTGGTAATGATGTTTGACGCGTAAGTCCTAAAAGTACGATATGTATGTCATTAAATAATTAAAAGGAAACTCACCTGGACCTTGAACAGTATTTGATATTTTTTGCTTATGTTGCTGTTGTTGTTGTTGTTGCTGCTGTTGCTGTTGTTGAGGATATGATCGTTTATCCAAAGCAGTTGATGAATAAAAACGATATTTAGCTGCTGTTAGTGGTGGTCCTCGAGTAGGTCTTGCATTTGTTCGTGGTAGATTTACTTGTGTATTATCCTTTTTGATAGCCATTTGTCGTAATGGAACAAATCTTTGTTGAGAGTTTTGTTGTTGTCGCTGTTGCTGCTGTTGCTGTTGCAGTTGCTGTTGTTGTGGGTAATACGGTTGATTGGTTATTATATTTCTTCCATACGGTATTGATTGTTGACGATCTGGTGAAACCACTGTTGATAAACGTGGTCGAAAACGAGGTCGATCATAAAATGTCATTGATGAATTATGCATTGCAGGTAAATTTCGTCGTTGAGTATAAAATGGAGTAGCATTTGGATTTAATTTACTTGTAATAGTTACACGTACTGGAGATATTTTTCGATGTTGATTTATTATAATACTTTTTTTTGCTGTATTATTATTATTATTGTTATCATTAGTTCGTGTTAAATTTTCATTTGTTTGATGATTATCCGAAACATTTTGACGAAGATTAGGATCTGTATTAGTTGTTGCTGTTGATAATAAATCTGTACGTCGTTCAATTTTTTTTGGTAAAACTTTTTTAGCAAGTAATGTAATTGGTTTTGAATTTGAATGTGATGTTGTTAATTGACTAAATTTTTCGATTTGCTCATCAATTGATTCATCATTACTTTCATCAGCAAAATTTTCACGAGAACGATGACCAAATGAAGATGATGATTCATTTGAACTTGAAGACATTAATGCATCGCCCCCTGTACTACCAAATGATTCACCACGTTTTTGACGTGCTATCGGTGCACGTGATAAATAATCATTTATTGATCCATTTGTTCGTGTTTCATAATCATCCGATGATGATAAACGAATATCAACAAGACATGGATCAATAGCTCGTAATTTTGCTTTTGATTCATTAAATGTTGATGGTAATTGTATAAGTCTTAATTCTTGAATATCACGTACATTTAAACATACTTGTTCATATGTACGTATATCAGTTGTTAAATGATCAATCATAACAGCATTTAATGAATCACTTGTACTGTTTTTCTCAATATTATCGATAGAAGTATCTAAGTAGAAAAGTTTTTTTTTATTGATAGAATACAAAAATGAATAAGATAGTTTGTTTTTACTTCGTTTAAATGGAGGCGTTACATTTGCGTTGACACGTACATTCTTGAGAAATATACGGTCCTTATTGGTACTTATTCCATCGAGTACACCTTCATAGGAAAGTTGAGCTTTTGATACGACTCGTACAGTACAACCATAATATGGACTATGAGTAATTGCGTTTAACTTCTCTTGAAGTTGCTCTTCAACCTGCATTGACTGTTATGAGCGTCTTTTACACGCGCAGGTACAGAAATATTTTAAATAGTTTTCTTTTTTTTATATCATTTCTATGCATAACAAGCGTTGCATCGTTTCTCTCTTTCCCTCTCTCTCACTCTCTACCTGCCTGCCGTTTTCTCCCTACGCGCTGTTCGTCCGATCGTATCGAAATTGACGACGATGGGTGAAAAATAACATGTGATCATTTAGCTGACGTCAACATATTACCTGTGTTAGTAGTATATTATTGTTCTAATTGTTTTTTCTTCATTTTTCTTTATATTCACACAGAGTGACTATTTTCATATATGTAGTGAAGGGAAACTTTCCTCATATAATTTGTATAGGATAAATACTACGACGAAAGAAAACGAACAAAAGAATATATAAATCACTATCATTTTTGAAGGGTCCTGACCGTTGTTGACAAATGAGAAAAAGCATTGAAGAAGGTAGGCAGAGGACGTGTTTGTTGTTTATTAGTGAAGCGTGAATAAGACATGACAAAACGCCACGCTGTTATCTGTCCTGTGCCTATCAAACTGAATCAGATAAAGATTAAAATTTATCGCTTTTTTTCTTTTTATAACTAGATTTATCGGAAAAAAAGAATAAGAAATTTCAAAATGAACAGTCTATATTGATGAAATATTATATATATAAAAACTGTGAAAAAAATCACCCGATTTCATCGATACTAATAACTTGCAATTTATTGCTACTTATTTTTGTCGCTTATGCATTGGAAAAAAATAATCATTATGTAATATAATATCATATTTGGTTGCAAAATAAATTTTCTAGGACATTTCGTAAATGATGTTTTGTGACCTTGCATTGTTGAATATATCAATACCGTTTATTAATAATGCATTAATCAAATAAAAAAATCTCGATTTTAATAATAATTTATATAAACATGATAATATTAAAAATTTTTGTTAATGTAAATAAAATTCTATTCTATAGATATACATATAGATATATATAATGCCACCTAAAGGAACCAAAAGTCCTCGAGGTAAAAGTCCAAAAAATGCGAAAGCAGATGCAGGAATAGCTTGGGAATCGATATTAACAACAAATTCAGTGAATCAAGTGAGAGAGAGAAAAAAAAGGATTTTCATCTATAATGTCTTTTGTTAATTAATTTTACAGGATAATTGGACAACATTTGTTTGTTTTCTTACACCAGATCATGCTATTAATCAGATTTATGTTGACCTCATTGAAAAAGCTATGCAACATGCTGTTCGTCGACGATTTGATATAATTTCTAAACGTGATTTTATCGAAGCTGTACGTTGCACAAAATCTATTATCATATTTTTCAAATAGTTTAATAATTTATTTAGATTAAAAAAGTGGAAAAAAGTGGAAAAACTCCTGCTAAATCTTCAACAAATCCACTTGTTGATAGTCTTAATAATTCAGCTTTAGCTTCTGCTTATGAACATGCTAAAACAATATTAGATGCAGGCGGAGAAATTGATGATCAATTATGGGCTAAATTAATCAAATGTCGTATACTTGATCTTAAAAAAGAAGTACAAAATCGTTGTACAGTTAAACCAGTATGTTAAAATAAAAATTCTACAATTAATAAATTTATTTTTCTTCAAAATTCTAGTCATCAGCACAAGCAGCTGCTGCACCAGCTAAACCTGAAAAGGGCAAAGGAGGAAACAAATCTCCTAAACCAGCTGCTAAGTCTAAAAAACAAGCCGCAGCTGCACCAGCACCTACAACTGATACACATATTGATAAGCCAATTGGCGTTAAAACACGTGATCAAATTACTGATGAAACAAAATATATTGGTATGAGGTTCATAATTAAAACAAAATATTTTATTTCATATATAATTTTATTCAGAAAATTCATCTATAAAAAGTAAAGGTTATAAATTATATTCTATAGCTAAATAAACTTGCTCTTCTTTATGATTCGAATTTATTTATTTTTTGTATTTGAATTAACTTTGATTGTTTTTCAAATTTAGATGATGAACCAAAAGATGGGCCTAATCAATATATATATTTAAGTGGATTTTATTCAATTGGTCTTTTACATGCTCTTGATGATGTTGGAATTCGTATTGATACAATCACAGATGTATCATGTGATAGTTTAGAAGAAACTAAACAATTATTTGATGAAATGATTCGACGAGATAGACAAGAACAAACACTTAAAGCTGATGTATTGAAAGAAATACGTACGTATAACCTTATGAAGAAAAAAATCAATTTCTTATTTTAATCTTAAAACATTTTCAGAAAAGGAATTAATACGTAAGAAGTTTTGTTTTTTGAATTTTTTTAATAACTAACCATGTGATGTATTGCATGGAAATTCTAATAGAATGATTTCCAGATCATTTTTAAAATCTCAAAATAGATTTAAAATGATTTAGTTTATACACAGAATGAATTAATTTGTTTTTTTTTGTCACTCAGTGCATGTTTTCTAAAGCTAATTATATAAAATCATGTATATTTATAAATCATCATTATCTTATTTGTTGTTTTTAGCAACACCTGAACAAATTGCTGAACAAAATCAACGCAATGATCAAGTATTAAATCAATTTTGGACAGAACTAATGCCTATATTAAATAAGGCACCAGATCAATCCATGTTACAAGATGTTATTGTAACAACTTTAAAAGTTCTTAGAGACAATCTACCAGATTCATGGATTAATACTGATCAAAGAGTAAAGTGAAAGAATTTAATCATTATAAAACAAACTAATATTTGTTTAGTTAAAACTAGCAGAATCACTCTGTGATGATATTGTTGAAAATAGTTTTCGTTTAAATATTCGTAGAAGACAATTTAAAACATTTAATGAACAAATGAAAGTTGTACCTATACCTACAATTGGTTTGTATTAAAACATAATTTCCTTTCTTTTTATTCGAAAGTAATACTTTTTGTTTTTTTAGAAGATAAAAATGCTAAATCAATATCAGAATCAAAAATTTATAATGAAATGACAACCATAATTCCACCAGAATCAATTAGTGTACCACTTATTTTACATGGCATTCTTGAACAAGTTTGTCTAATAGAAAAAAAACTTGATTTTGTTTTAATAACTAAACGAATATTTTTCAGGTGGAAGTTAAACTTGCAAATTCTAATAATACTAATACTAATGTTCCTAATCATCAAGATGATGTTGGACGATATTTACGTGAAAAACTGATGTCACTTTCGATGGAAAAAGAACATAAAAAAGTAAAAATTTATCAAAATAATATTCTATACATATATATCGAATAGGAAATTGAAAATCTTGTTCCAAAATCTCCATTTACAAAAACTACTGGTTCAGGTCCAACTATGGTTTATTATACTGATGAAATAAAACAACGTTTAGCAACATTAAATCGTTTAGCAGTAGTTGATCCAATAAAAATTGAACGTAATTCATTAATGTCTCATTCACGTCTTATTAATCTTCCTGAATTAACACGAAAAAAACCATATGATCCAGATTCGAAAGAACGTCAAACACGTTTTAATCAATTATTACAATTTTGTACTGATAATGAACTTCTTCCATCAGGTTAATAGATAAAATAAATAATAAAAAAACAAATTTTTTTATTGATTTAGATATTGATCATATTCTTAAACAATTTATTTTTGAATGTATGACATTAAATGCAACAACAGAAAATTCAATTGAACAAGAAACAAGTCGTCCATCAACTGCTGAAAGTGAACAAGAAGATGAACAATTATATTTTGAAAAACATTTAACAAATTTAAATGAAAAAGAAAAGAAACAATCAAGTAATATACAACCAATCATTTGGGATGATCCATTTGAATTATTAAGAACAAATCAAGAAACAGGAAGAATTGGATTTTCTACTCATACACATACGTCAAGTCCAACAAGTCATTGTATGAAAAGAATTAGTTCAACAATTTTTTATTGATCTTTATTTTTAGCATCGAAAAGTTCAAATCCACAATCACCAAATCAACTAGGTAAATTAATCGATTATAAAATTTCAAGAATAATAATTTCTTAATTATTATCTTACAGAATCGACTTCAGGTATTGAGAAATATATATTTGTGTGTATTTATTAGCTGAAAACTAACAAAATAGTCATTCGTTTTATTTTTTTGCTAAAATATAAGACTAATAGTTGATTTATAATAACTAACAGCTTGTGTTGATTGCCTTCTTTATTTAATTTCATCAGTCTATACTGTTCGTTTTGATGTTAATAATCCAGACAACAATCTCCAGAATCAAATGTCTCATATACTACCACCAATTGGAGATGTACATACTGATGGAACAATACAAGCTGTCATTCAACATCATAAACGAAATTTAAATGATTGGAATTTTGCTGAACATTTTGAACCGGAAATATTTTCTCAAGTATGTATTGAGACATAACGGATTATAAGTTCAATCAAACTAATCTATTTCTAGGTAATTGAACAAGCTTTATTCACACATTCACATGTGGATGTATATTATAATCGACGTGATCAAACACATATGATGGTACTTTCATTACCAATTCCTGCAGGCAAAACAATAGGATATGATAATACAAGTAAAAAATTATTTTCTGATGTTGGATTTCGGTAAATGAAATATATTTTTTAATGAAAATATTTACATGAATTATTTTATAGAAATTTTCTTGATGAAATATCGTATGAAATTGTCGATTGGCTTCGAGATGAAGAAGCTAAATATCAAGCTGATGTACTTGCACATGAAGTACAAACCTTTATACGTGAACTAACACCAACACCAGATGCATCTAAAGATGCTAAAGGCGGAAAGAAAGGAAAAGGAGCAGCTGGAAAAAGTATTTTATAATCTTAGCAAAAATCTTTTCGATCATATATTTTTGCTCTAGAAACGCCACCATCACGATCACGATCAGCAAGTGCTGCTAGTTCCGACGCAGAAAAGACTCCAAATGAAGACGAACAAGTTATTCGTGATGATTATGCACATCCAACATCATTAAAAGTATGGAAACAAAAGAGAGATAAAGAACTTGAAGAAGAAGCATTAGCCAAAGCAAAACGAGCAGAATCAGCTACGAAAAAGGGTAAAGCAAAAAGTCCTCGAGCATCAGAAAAAGCAGGTAAAACAACAACACCAAATGAAAAACCTTCTAAAGATGGTAAATCAAAACAACAAGCCGCTGTACCAGTAGAAAAGCCTGAAGTAAATACTACATGTTTAAACAAATCATTTTAAATCTTCATACTTATATTTTAGGATACAAAACCATCATATGAATTTAATGAACCATCGGAACGAGTAATTTCAAAAATTCTCCACTCTATCTCATTGAAATATTTTTGTTTTCTATTATAATTAGTTCATTGGCTATAGTCTAGGTAATCATTTATTAAGTGCACAATGTAGTACTTCACATTTACTACTTCCTGATGGATGTTTTATTCGAACGCGTATTGATTCACTCAAACGAGGAGCAACATGTGTTTCAACAAGGTCTGATATTATTTCGAATTTCTTATAAATAATCCAAAAAAACTTGAATTTCTTTATATAGTTTATATCGAAATAAAAGTTCATATAATGTACAATTAGTTAATCCACATAAACTATCGAATAATACTAACACCAATACTCAATCGGATTCAACGGAACATCATAGTAGTTCATCAAAACATGGTTTGTTTAATTTTTTGAAATCATCTATGATTATATTTTTGTATTTATAAAGAAAATTCTACAAGTTCATTCGCAGAAAAACGAATTGCTCAATATGGTGTATTTACAGCTTTATTAAATTCTGGAATGATTCTATCTTGTAGTAATTATGATACTAAACCTGCAAAAAGTAAAATTTTTATTTTTAATAAGTCTATTGAAAAATTCATTTTTGATTTTAGTTGAAACACCTCCTCCTCCACCACCTCCAGCTCCTGTTGAACATCATGCACCACCTGAACCAGCAGTAGATGATAAAAAGAAAGATTCACATAGTACCAAAGGAAAGAAAAAAGGCAAAACAGTTGAAGTTGAAGCACCTGTAGTTGTAAGTTTTATATTTCTTATCTTTCTTTTATTATTTCATTATTTTATTTTTAACAAAATATTAATCATTCTATAGGATACAGAATCTATTACCGAGGTAGTACTTAATAATTATCTTCTTTTCTGCATTCGCTTAGTCTGTGATTATATATTTGTGTATGAGTAAATGCATTATATATACACACAAAAAAAAGAATTCATTTTATTTTTATAATCAATCAAAAATGAAATCGTTCTATTGTTCTTCATTAGGAAAAACCACCACCAGAACCTCAATATGATCCTGAACCATTTCAACGTTTAACAATATCAATTCCAACTGGTCTTGTTGTTACATTTTATCCTGAAACATTTAATGGTACAAAAAAACAAATTTTGCTTTCAAAATTTTCTCTTAAAAAATCTTTTTTTATTTAATAAAGGTGTTAAACCAACACAAGCTAATCAAGTTCATCGACTTATTGTTAAACAATATTACGCATGTCAATCAAAAGGTTTTCATACATGTGAACAAACACGTTTAAATGCATATGAAGAAAATTCACGTATTATTGACGGAGAAGGACATGTTATGATATTTAAACGTAATGGAGAATTAATTGTACGTTATTAACTCTTTTTTTCTATCGATTAGATATCATTTTGTTTATTAAATGTATATAGATTCTTCAACCTGATGGTGGAATATTTACTAAAACAATTGTACATCAAAATGAACCGGAAATTGAAATAGCAACTGAAAGTCCACAAGCAGCTAAAAAAGGTGGTAGAAGTGATAGTCGAGGAAAAAAGAAAGTCGATTTAAAACAAAGTACGGATGTATCAACAGTTAGTGAAGAAGTAAAACCACTTGTTTTTGAATGGAAATGTGTGACATCAGATGGACAAGTATTTAGACAAAATTCAACAAACCAGGAATATGAAAAAATTGATCATTTAAGATTAATTCTTGAAACAAATCCAAAAACATCTGAAGTGATTTTTATATCAATAAAATTTTCAAAATCATTTATTTATTTATTTTATTGTTTAGCAAGTTATTCATCGAGAAGATAAAGTTGTTATTGTATTTCGTTCAGATGGATCTCGTGTTGTTAGTTTTGCTGATGGAACAAGGTAAAAATTATTTAACCTATGACACTCATAGTTATTATTTGCTCGTTTCGAGAAGCAATTAACTACTTCTTTATATAATTGATACCTTAGACGACAGACATTTGAATATTTTATCTATTTAGAATAACAACATATGAAGCTGTTGAAAATAAAAATAATACTCCAAGTGATCGTGAAACTGGTAAAATTTTAGTGAATTTTGTTTATATGTACTCTAATAGAATTATTAAATAGGTGAACTTAATAATTCCACATCAAGTTTTCGAAAAATTCCTCATGTAAAAGTTGAAGCATTGGGTTATGCAACTGTTGCATTTAATTGTCAAACTACTGATTGTCGAACAGTATTTAGTGATGGTAGTTCAATAGATGTTTTTTCAAATGGTACCTATTCAATATATGAAAGTGATGGAGAACAGTTTGATATTAATGAGAATGGTGATATACTTTTTGATTTTCAACAGTAAATTTTATTTAAAATTATCATTATACAGAAAAGAAAGACTTTTGAAATATTTCTTAGATCAATCTATGGAAAACGTATTCAAGAACTTTTATCACATATTGAACCAAGTAAATGTATTATGTCACAGAATGGTGATGTTATTTTCGATGCTGTTGATTATGAACAAAAACAATATTGTGTTGAAGCATCAGGAGAAACTTACTCAAAAGAAAATGATCAACAGGAGATACCAAAGGATTTCCCTATGGAAATGCATGTACCAAGGTAAATACAAATATTCATATATATTTAATTCGAACTTAAATATAATTGTTTTCACGAAAACTACGATAATTACTTAAATCGATTTTTTTGTTTCTGTTGTATTTATCTTATTAGTAATTATTCTTAGATTTTTCATTGTTCATGAAGATGGTAGTGGAACTGAATTATTACGTTTTAAAGATCTTTATTCATATTTACGAATAATGGATCTTGATCCAAGTACAGCTGTTGTTCGTGAACCATTATCAAGTAATCCAAAAGTTACTGGCGCTACAGTCATGAGACCATTTCAAGGTATAAAATCTTATTTTCTCTTCATAAATTTCATATAATTTTAATAGATGAAATTCATCGTCGTTGGTTAACATCATTTGAAGATGATTCAGTTATTCCTGCAAGTCTTCGTGCTCATACATCAAAACCAGCTATTACTGGTAATGATTTATTCATGTTTAGAATTCAAAAAAAAGTCATTATGAATTCATTTAGATTCTCAAGATAGTAGTTCATTTCGACAAACAGATAAAAATAATCAATCATCAACATTTTCAAATAGCTTTACTAATCAACAACCAATACTTGAAATGCCTAAAGCACTTGATTATCGTAATTTTATGGAATTTCCTAGACTTCACGATGAAATACGATTTAAATTATTTAACTCATTAAAGTATGACAGAAAAACGATTTTCTAAATTTCAATAATATTACTTTTCATTTAGAAATTATGTTGATTTTGTTACAAATCGAGCTGATCATCATACAAAATTATTACCACATGATCATCGAAATAGACATGAAAAAGAACAAGCTAATAAAATTTGGAAACATGCTCGACCACAAGGAACAACTAAAGGTTAATTATTTTTAATCTCTTTTTATTTTAAAATTATTCTGTATTTTTATTAGATGATTTAGCTTTATTATATCTTAAGACAGTTCATCCTGATCGACAAAAACCAACAGCAACAGCAGCACCAACAAAACAATCCGTTATACCATTAGCACAAGTATTTAACTTAAATCATTTACATACTCAACTTCATCAAGAAAAGAAAAATAAACAATTAAGACGTGATATGTCTAAAGGAATTGCTATGCCTTACTTTCAAACTGAATGGGGAACAGCATATACAAAACAACAACAACAACCAGAAATGGTTTCAACAAGAGAATCAAGAAGTGCAGGATATACAAGTAATTCAAAAGTTCTTAAATAAAATCTGATCATATATTGTTTTTCAAAAACGAGTTCATTTTTAAGTAACATTACAATATGACCTGTAAAATTTAATTCAGCTAAGAAATATCGATCATTTCTATCGTTGTAGCAAGAGTGATTTCAAAAATATTTATTCTAGAAATTTTGTACTATTTATTGTATTTCATTTATTCTATAATAGAAACAACAAATGGTCATGAAAATTCATTAAATTCTCCTCCAATTTCTCCAACTAATCAACAGAATCGATTATCACAAATACAAAAACCACAATTTACTCGTAGTCTCAGTACAGGTAAAAGAATAATTCCTATCTAAATCATTTCATGACACATTATCCGGACGAGAAATGTAAATTGTATTCCTTGGTTCTTTTCTTCTTCTAGAAGTTGCAGACAATAAAACACTGAATAGTTCTGGTCAATCTAATCTAGATAGTACGTATCGTCCTGTTAAACCATTTGCATCACCAAGAAATACTGTTCAATATGATGCATATGGTAACAAACGAGCAAATCCAGTTAGAATACCAAATTCATTGAAAGGTTCTCGACCACATGCTGAACCTCATACACGTGTAAGTATTCTTAAATTCATATAAAAATGAATCTATTAAGAAAATATTTTAGTTTCTTGATATGGAAGAACCTGTTATGGTTCGACCCAATAATGCATCAATTGGTGCTGCTGCTCTCAATAATCGACCATTACGAGCAAGACGTGGTTGTGAGCTTTTTCCTGATAAACTTGATTTTGGCGTTTTGAAAGAAGGTCACTATTTAATTTTGATATTTAATTAAAAATAATATCTTGAAATTTAATAAATCTAGGTGTAACTTATGGAGCAGAAGTTAATATAAAAAATGTTGGTATTGATGCATGTCGTTTTCGTGTTCGTCAACCACCACTAGGTACTGGATTACGAGTTGTCTTTCAACCGGGAGTTGTACGTATATTTATTTTCCAATTCTTTTTTTCCCTCATCTAATGAAATTATTTTCTAAAGCTTGCTGCGGGTATAAGTCGACCTCTGACGATTGAATTATATGCAATTATTAAACAAAATTATAGTCAACAACAACAACAGCAACAACAATCTCAAGGTCTTTATCAACTTGATCAATCAATTGAAATTATAACTGAAACGGATATAATGCACTTTCCAATACGTGCTAAAATAGCTAATGAAGAACAATTTGAGATAATGTTTGTTAACAAAGATGGAACAGCTGGAATGAATAAATCAGTTCGTTTACTTGCTCGAAAAAGTTCAAATATAAATGATTGGATTGCTAATACGAATAAAGATACTACAGATGCTCCACACGAATGATAAAACAATTATATATGAAGTGAAAAACATTATAGTATTGTATTTTGTAAAAGAATTATGAATTTTTCAATAAAAAGCACATATATTTGACATTTTGAATGACCCTTTTTTTTCTGAGTGTTTTATCGAAAAGAAAATTATACTTTAATAAATATTACTATTCAATTAGGAGATTGATTTCAATGCTATAACGTACAGAATTAAAACTAGTATACCTCGTTCTCTATGTATATAATGATATCGATTCTATAAAAATTTCATTTGATTATTACCATAACTAAATCTTCTATATTATATTTGTTTTTCACGACGTATTAAAGTAGAAAATGAAATAACGGAATAAATGTAACAATTGATACTATAACCGCATAAAGATACAATTAATTTCAATAAATAAATAAATGCTTGGATAAGAACAGAAAAAAAAATTTTTAGAAACGAAAAGAAACATATTTTGTTACTGTATTTTTGAACAGAATTTTTTTTTTCTTTTTAAATATAAATCAAGAAACACACACGAATTCACATATATATTTTTCACTTGTTTAGTAAACTAACCCATTTTGTGAATGTGTGTTATAAAGTGAAAGAGATAGAATAAGAAAAAAGTGCACTCAGATCGTGACAAACGAAAGAAAAAAAAAATAAACAGAAATAAAAATAAAAAGAAAGTTATATTGCACATTAACACACAAATAGAAAAAAAACATCTTATTATTAGATGTGTATGTGTGTTTATTCTTTTTTTCTATTGTCTTTTTTTTCACAACAAAAAAATTGTGCTACGAAAGTACACAATTTGAGGAAGATTCAGCAGGATGAATAAGGGAATTATTACCATTTGTTAATGGTTCTGATGAAGACGAAGGAGTATTTGGATTATTAACATAAACGGATTGTAAAAGTTTATTCCGTGTCGTTTCATTTGTTGATTGATTTTTATGTTGTTGTTGATTATTAGGTATTTGAATATGTGGATTGATAAGATGTTGTGTAGGTGATGAATGTTCATCATCTGATTGAATAAAATCACTTGTATCAACTGTTTTACCAGAACTTAGACGGATATCAAGACGTTTCGATGATAAAGGCGGAGGTGGAGGATCAGTTGGTGCTGTTGAAAGTGAACTCTGTCTTTTGGATGATCCGGGAAAATTTTTATTTTCTTGAAGTGAACTTATTGTTCGTGCACGAACTGAACCAGGTGAAAAAAGTGATGGTTCATCTACTTCTGAAGATGATGATGGTGGAAGTACAATATCTCCACTAAAACGACGTGCACGTAATGCTGGTGATGTTTCACGACTTTTTCTATTATTTGTAACTTGTGTATCAATAGTTAATGAATCAAGTGTTGTTGTAACTTGATCAGTATTCGTAGCTGAACTCGTACGATTACGCGAGGAACTTTTTCTACGTGATACGTGTTCATTATTATCTGTAATTGTTTGTTTTAATATAAATACATCATCATCTAAATAAATAAATATTGTTGAAGATCTTCAATTAAACGAGTTCATAATATTTACTTTGATCTAGTGACATTTGTTTTTTTGTCGGAGATAATGGAATAAAAGTTCGACGTTGATTAATCAATGCTTGAGCTTGATTACGTACAAATAATAATAAAGATTTATATCCAGGACTAGAAACAGAAAATTTAAAGAAATGATTATAAACAAAAAAATAAATAACAAACCATTCAATATCAGCCCATGTTTCTAATTCAACAAGACCACGTTGTAAAGTAAACATTTGTGTGGATAAATCTTGCATTCGAATAGCATTAATAACTTGTGTAATCATTGTTTGACTTTTGAGGATAAGTGAAAATAGAAATGCCCAATCATAACAATCAGCCATTAAAAATGTATCATAAAGAAATCTATTATTATACAATAAATATTGTTTAAAAAGGTATTTATTTATTTTACCGTATTTGTTTTTCACATAATTGTGGACCATGATTTGCTAACTCTTGAGTGAGACTTTCTATATCACGATTATTCACAAGATCATCGAATTCGTTATCAATTGGCATAGAACTTGCTTCCGATGTTAAACTTAATGTATCCACTAGAACAAGAAGAAACATAATAAAATTCGAGGAAGTTTAATTTCTCTATTCAACTTTTTCGTTCTTTTTTTTAAATCTATTATTATGTATAATTAACTGTTCTGCTAGTACCACAACTTTACAAAAGTTAGAATGACTTACAAATATCTTTATTAGTCTTGGGTATTAAATTTATATTCATTTCATCTTTTGATGTTGCACGTGACACTTGTACGGGATATTTTTCATCTTAAATTATAATAATTAATAGTTTATAAAAAAAATCTTTTCTCAAAAGTCAATTCGCGCATACCTTGATCACCACCATTTCGATCATTTGGTCCAAGACCTGAATCTGAATGATGTCCATTATTATCAGTACTTGATGTCCTCGAATCTTTATCTTCTTAAGAGAAAAAAGTCAAATTTTAAAATAATTAAATTTAACATACGATATATCGGATTGAAATAAACGCTTGGTGAAAGTGAAACAGGAAATGGCCAATCAAATTCCATATGAAGTGTTTTAAGTGTATCAGAATAATTCGAAATACTCAATGCGGATTCATGTCTAGAAATAATTTAATTCAATGTTTAATGAAAACAAGAAGAAATAAATTAATTTCTCTTACTTATGACTCTTAAGCCAATTGAGAAGATCAAAATCAGATATATTAGCTGCCATATATCCTAAATGTCTTAAACGACCTTTACTAATTGCTTGTAATGCATGTTGATTTAATGTACGTTGAATAAAATTAACTGATGATGAAGTTGTTGATGATTGGAACATTGAATAATCTATTGAATCAAATGATTGTTGTTGTTGTTGTTGAAATTCATGTTCTTTTCTTGGTGATTTACTATCTGATGAACTTGATTTTCTTCCTCGTGTTTCAGTAGTTGAAGAATTCAATGATTCTGATGGATTACTTGATGCTGTAGCGTTCAGTGAATTTACATTTAAAACAGTTGATGGTGCTGGCCAGGATGCTTTAGCTTTAACTGGTGTTAACGATGTTGGTAATGGTGGTGCTTCAGGAATGGCTGGTATAGTTGATGGATTTGTAGAAGAATTTGCTACACTTGCTGTTCGCTGTCGTATATTTGGAACATAAGTAAATTTTAATGATTCACGATAAGATGATAAAGGTGATTTTTGACTAAGACTATTTGTTACACGTTTACTAGTGTTTGCTGGTGGAAATCGATTATTTATTGTACGAATATGTTCATCATTATTTAAGTCTTGTGGATCTAAAAGATTAGAGTTTATATTTTTTATATTTAAGATTTATTTTTCATATAGATTACCTATTGAACGAATAAAACGAAGAATATCTGTAGCTAATTCCCATTTAGCATTTTCTAATGAATGTTCGAGTAAAACTTGAGCAAACTAAATGAAAATATTAAAAATAAATTTCAAATGAAATAATAGATTGTTTATTTTTACTTGTTGACTTAATTCACTTTTTTCAAGATTTTGTATTATTATTAAATATGATGCTGCCGTTTCTAAATTATTGTCCTTCAAACATTGCTATATAATAATAAAAAATAATTGGTTAAAGATAAAAGAAAACTAAATAAATAATTATTTTACTTGAAAAAGTTTTTTCGGATCAACGATAGTTGATGTTGAAAATAAACGTGGCCATAATTTGACTTCAGTTTTTCTTAAACAATGTGAAACAATACGTAAAAATTGAGGAAATAATTTAATAAAATCAGTAACACGTGGCAAAAGTGGATCTATG